CTTCGTATTGTTACACAACATTCCAGCGTTGGATAATGGAATGCTTACAGTGTTTATTATGCAATTACCACATAGGAAAAACAAGCAGAAAAGGGAGAAGGGTGATTGGAAGAAAAAGGACTCGATATAAACAGACACATAAAGGACTAAGATAATAGCATTAGCAAAAAATGACTGACTTTCCTATCATCCATGGAGCTTCTGTGGAACAACATGGAACTGCAACTGAAATATCTCTAAGCCTTAGACTCTATTTAAGAAGGAGTCTCCAGGGAAACCCAAAACAACTGAAAAGACAAAAGCAGATGCTAGAAGACAGTTTAGCCCTAACACCAGAGCTACATCAAGCAGTAAATACAGCTTAATTCCTGACCACAGGAGCATAAGACCTCACAACAAAACCTGGCTTCCCCAGCTCCTTGTACCTGATACAGCATGTCCAGGTTTCTAACAAAGCTTACAAGGCATGCTAAAAACACTCAGAGGAGACAAAACAATCATCAGAACCACAGAGAAAAATGATGTCAATTTTGGAGAATCGGACCAGAAAACGGGCACAGAGATTCAGATGGATTGCTATGGTAAGTTCCCACATTTGGGGGAAAATATGTAAAACTAAATAACACACAATGTTTTTATAAAAAGGTGTCAGCAAATATGATTGATTATTAACATTCACAAGAGTTTACAAGAACCACTTGGCAATAAACCTGCAGTTACAGATTTATAAATTAAAAAGTGAGAAGTTGGATTTTGTTTCAGATTAATTATATGCACAACATCAATTTCCTAGCAAATATATTTTTTATTTTTGTTTGCTAATTTCCTGTCTGTGAATTTAAAAGAGAGTTGGTATGGTATTTGATAAATGTCAAAATTTGTAATGGACCAAGATGCATTTTCAATATTTTGTAATGTTTCAAACACAATGTCATTTGTTTTCTGAAAACTATTGGCAAGCATATATAAAAATATCTAAAAATCTTTTTGGTGGTAGCCCACAATTTCATGTTTTCCAAAGTAAACCTACCTTTTACTCATACCTTTTATCATTTGAAGAAATGAGAAATGTACCAACACCTAAATCATAGAAATATAAGCTTCTTATTATACAGGACATTGGAACATGACCCCCTCAGACAAAGAATATGCTTTGGATTTGCTGTTTTAAATATGGGGTACTTCATTTCAATATTAATGATGTCATTTCATAAAAAGACTCTTAGCCTTGATTAATTTTAGCTTATAAAAATCTTTTGAAATATACTCTATAAAAATCTATTATTTTCTTGACAGTTCCCTATAGAGTACAGTTAAGTAACTGTCATAATTTTTATTCTTTGTTCGATATTATTTTATGCCTAAGAGTTCTTTTCTACAAAAACTTAACAATAAACATGTGATTTATTAAATCATGATTTTTTTTTTGTATATACCAATCACGTTTTCTATATTGAGATCTTTTTAAACACTTATTTTTTTTCCCAGCTCAAATTTTCCTAGGTCATATATTGCTAGCTGAGTTTTTTTATGAAGAAGTTTACATGCTCTGATACATTTTTAGGATTATAAAATTTACCGTGCATGGTTTAATTGGCTGTCGGTTTTTAATATGCTGATTGCTTTCGTCCCCATGGGATGAAAATTTCATGTCTCAATTGCTCCCCATACCTCACAGATTCCCAGGATTTCAGCATCCTGATTGGACTGTGGATTCACTTCTTTCGCTCACTCCCCCTGGATTCTTGTAGCGTGTACTCACCATGGGATCCAAATAGTGAAGCTAAATGGTGAACCTCAAGTCACAGTGTCAAAAGACTTCTGACTCTATATTATAATTTCCTTTCTTCCATCTCCCAATTTCTTAGCAAGCTGGGATGAAAGAGGGATGTGGCTGTTTGGCAGGATTTTGAGTGTAGGGAACATGCCCCCTAAAATATATGCTCAGTTATCACTTATCGCCAATCTATTTAGTGGGTGTGTGTCTGTGTATGTGTGTGGGCGGGTGGCGGGGTGGCCAGGGAGTGGAGAGAGCTTCAGGAGAATGTGGCCATGGTTTATATGTGTACCTTGGGCAGCTCAGGTAAGGGGTATGTGATTTCCCATGTACTACTCTTGCAACTTTTCTATAGGTTCGAATACTATGAACATATACAAAATGAAGAGATCTGATAAATGAGCTATTCGAAGACTATCTTGATTGAGTTTTCTTCCCCATCTCTTTTGCATTCTGACTGGCCCTGATTGCTACTTCCCCTCCCGTCCTGTCATCCATGCTGAGACAGAGAGGTTAATATGTGAACGACAGAGGAGAATTTATAAACTGCCTGAGATACATATTCTGATCACGACCCACCCACTTTCTCCGACAGTCACCATAAAAATTAGAATGGAATTGGTCTTTAAGATTCAGAATAACTCAATGAATGTTTATGGACTAAATACCATTCCCAGTGACTAATGACTTTCCATGTATCCTATATTCTAGTTTTCACAATAAAGACACAAAGCAGGTATCCTTGTGACTCCTTTTGGATGGAAATTCACAGAGGTTACAAGCATGTTTGCCAAGGATCACGACATTCTTGAGAAAACTAGAAACTGAATCTTTGCCCCAATGATGTCAAAAGCAGTTTCTATAGCCATTTGCTCCAAAGAGCCTAAAACCAAAGAAGCAACTCCATTCAGATAAGCCGCTCAACAGGAAGCTTATTTAACCCAAGTCTCGGTTTCTCATATATAAAGAAAATGTGATGCATCCTGTAAGATTTTAAGAAATACACAGGATCTCAACCGAGTTTGGTGACACCCGTGTGTAATCTCAGTGACTCGGGAGGCTGAAGTAGAAAAATAAAAATGCCAGGTCACCCTGGGCAACTCAGTAAGACTCTCAGCAATGTAGAGAGACCCTGTCCCCAAATAAAAATAAAAAGGACTGAGATGTAGCTCAGTGGGAAGTCATCCCCAAGTTCAATTCCCAGTAGTATAAGAAAAAAAATATGTGCATATATATATATATATATATATATATACACACATATAAATGTATATACATATAATCATATATATAAATTTTGATTTCATATCAATGATCAAAATAGTAAAGGCAGAAAGCCAGGGCTGGGGCTGTAGCTCAGTGGTACAGCGCTTGCATACCAGGTGTGAGGCACTGGGTCCGATTCTCAGCACCACATATACATAAATTTAAAAAAATAAATAAAGGTTCACCAACAAATAAAAAAAATATTTATATTGAAGGCAAATGGTGAAGTTCAAGTTGTAAAGTAGTTGTGTCAATATTTCCTGATTCTTTTTGCTTTCTTTCACCCCCCAATTTCTTAGTGTGTATATATATGTATTACATATATATACACATATACATATATATTTCATATACATATATAAATATATATGTGTATTATTGTATCACCAATGTTTAGTTACAGGTACTTAAAAATAAAATCATTTCCATTAGTGTATAGATAACTAGCCTCAATACCTTCTGAAGTTTTGTTTTTATTATGGAAGAGCCTTTCTTATTTAAGTGATCCATATTTCCTCATGCCAAATACAACACGATAAGTTATTAATGTTCTTTTCAGTGACTATTTTTCATTGGTTTTCTTGTTAAAACAGTCATGTAATTCTCCCAGTATTTTGCTGACACGTATTTTCTGTATTTTTATAAACCTTAATTTCCTTGAAAGGTTAAAAAATGGTGAGAATTCATCAAGTCCTAAAAGGGAGACCAAGAAAAAAAAAAACTGATTTAAAGTGCCTCTCTGAATCCCATTTAATCAATCATTAATTATTTATTGGACAAATACTATGAGGCCAGCTTGTATGAAAGTGAAATATGATCTCTTCAATCCATGAGAAATGACTAACATGAGAAATTTAATTCAGAGTATAACACAATTTCATTTATAGAGGAGAAACTAGAAGATTTAGTGGCCAGTGTTTTGGGGGATGGCTGAGTCCATTTAGTTAATAGAAAGGATAAAACTACTCAAGACATTTTCTAGAGTTTGGAAAATAAATCCGTTTCTACCTGTGATGGTCACATTACAGACTTTGGATTTAACGAAATGTCCCCGGAGCTTCTAGGAAGAGCCCACCCTCCTACCACTCTAAGTCCATTCTGTAGGCAAGAACTTGAGAACAACCTGGGAACTTGTAAGACATGGAGAAGTCAGACCTTACCCCCGACCTACAGACTCAGAATCTGGATTCAGCCATGTTCCAAGTTTATTCCTATGCACCCTCACTCTTGAAAATGACAGATCTTGTCTGTCTCCTTTTTAATTTTTTTTTCCTTTCTGGTGTTTATAGGCGAAAAGAACCACAAAATTATATATTTGTCTGAAATTTGATGGTCATGAGAAAGCAGAGAGATGTTCTAGATAGATACCCCATGCAAAAATGCAAATATTTTCCTGGCTTCCAAATATTCCAAACCTGTCCCTGCTAAACACTTATCGGGAAGTCAAAGTAAGCACCCAGAACATTCCCGGAGCGGATTGGACTCAATTCTAATTATCTACTATAACAATGGGCTTAATTAGTCTAGTTTGGGAAATGAATGGGTTTTTCCATTTATAAGAACTGCTGATTAATTAAGCAAGAACTCACTCCAGGCAATGTATTTCTGGATGTAGGACAAGAGGTCGTGAAGGATATATCAAAAGTTTAGCCACTGGCCCACGGGGTCATGCGAGTTAACATACTCTCTTGCAAAGTGCTGCATCAAAGGGTCCCATTATACTAAACTCGAGGAAATACCCACCATATTTAGGGGAGAAATGCAGCATCGCTTTCCGTGTGTTAGATGTTTTTTATTTAAATTCCAACCAGAAAGATTCCCTATGGCTCAGCATTTGAAATCTATTTGGTAATTTACCTTAGAGCAATGTTTGAATAATGAAAAGGTTTATTTAAAAAAAAAAAAATTTTAAAGCAACTAGGGAAAAAAAAAAAAAAAAAACAACAAACCACCTTACTTTCCAAGGGCAAAGCATTCCAGTTTTACAGATGAATCCTTTGCGGCTTGTATAGTTTCAGGAAAACGGACTTCAATCTTTGGTTCATATTCCCCCATCACACCTGTTAAATATCAAAAGAGCTAGCAGCATTTCCAGAGAATGGAATTTTCCTAGGAAGTAAACGCTTCATTAACCCAAACTTGATTATTTGGTCTTAATAAGAATTCGTGTTTTCCAAAGAACTGGATACAGCTATGGTTTTATAAAGGATCCTTCTTAGAGATAGCTAGACCCACCTCCCCTTCCGGGAGCCAGGGGCTGGGTCGGTTCAGGAATAGGAATTTTGCATTAAAAATGGTAAGAAGTGTGATACAGCAGCATATTCCAAGCTATCAGTATTTCTGTGGCAAAATATATGAAGCAATCACATGAACTGAGATAAAAAGAAAAATATCTGTATGTCCGAAGCTTTAGTTTTCTGAACATGTATATATATAGATATATAAAAGTCTTTACGGTTTTAATACTTCCAATAAGGAACTGTGGCCATAGGCTGAGATTAAAATAAGGTAGTGTTCTAATGTGTTATAAATACATTATCTGCCAGACAAGTTGTGATAAACAGAAATATATCTTATTATTTCAATTAAGTTAATCAAAGGCCCCTTGAGATTCTTTAAAAACTTTGATCATGTTTTATTTTTAGATATCAAACATAGGAGTGACATATTCCAAAAATACATGGGATTTTTGGTGCAACTGCAGAAAATGTGACAACTACAAGATAAATAACTCATTTTTTTAAGACGTTGATCTTTGCAAACGTTGAAAGAGGTTCCGGTGGGGAAGTTAGAGTACTACTTCATTCTGCTAAACTGACAAGCTTTGAATTGGCTTTCTTGCCATCTGAGGTTTCTCGTATGCCCACTTAAAAAAGGTTTAATTCATTTATATTATGTACAATGGTACAGGTCTACTTTTACCTTAAATATAATGAAGATAATAGAAGGCATGGAGAAGGGGGTGGGAGTTGGGAAGGGGTTCGGCAGAAATTAAGAACAGAAGAAAAATGGGTAAACTATGTTAGGATCTCCTCCTGTGGTCATGTGTATTCACTGAAGAGACTTATGAATACATCTAAGGGTTGCCCAAATTGGAATTAAGACCTTGAAAACATGTTTGGGTAGTTAGTGATTATGAAGTTCTTCCATAAGGACTCTCCCTGTGGAGTGGGTTTCACAGTTCTGCTGGCGTTTATATAATATTCTTGCTTGTCTTTTTGCGGGGGAACAGAAAAATTCTGGGAGGTATTGCATTTCAAGTCCAAAACCTGATCATATAATGCACTCACAGATTTTTTTTTTCTGTCTTTACATATCCCACTGTGCACATTTAATTAAAGAATCAACTAGAGGGTTTTTCCACTTGGATGACTCCAGTCATTTCTCATTCTCTGAACCAACCGGCTAAGCTACAGAACACATCAGAGGCCAATCTGAGTTATGTTCCTTGGAGAAGTAAAATTAGTCTGGATCTTGCATTTCATTTCTTTGGAGTGCTCATAATTAATGTTGGTTTTCTTTGCTTTCCAAACATATTATCTTTTTTTTTAATTTATGTTGCTATTTGGCTAGGAAAGGGATAGGGGGCATTAAACAGGTTCCCATATATGTTCATTAAAATGATATTAATTTAAGGATAGAAATGTAGCTGCACCCACACATGCACACATACACACATGCCAATCCCCCCTCCCCGACAAATATCATCTTTTTATTTTTTTTTTTACAGATTAATTCTTAAGCAAAGTGAAATCAAGCTGTCCCAATGTCTGAAAGGAGATGGCACAGTGTACCCCAAACCAGGTATACTGCACCACGTGGGTGCATTGCAGAAGTTTTCTATCGTAACTGATTTGCATTACACTGGTGGACTGAACCTTCGACTCATAGCTTCGGGTGGATTTGGCTCCATTGAACAGGAGGGAAGCAGACAGCACCCCAACCCCACCCCCACCCCCACTCTGGAAGAGCCACAAAGTAGAGTCCCAAGAGAACTCTTCATCTTACCATCGGTGCGTTGCACTAAAGGCGTGGGGGGTCCTCGGACGCTCCTCCGGGCCTCCTTGTTGGTTATGAAGCAGGTGTAGTTGCCCACGTCCGAGGGCTCCACCTTAGCAATGTACAGGTTTCCTGTCTCTTGAGATACAAACCGCCTCTTGTCCTCTTGGACATATAAGGAGTTATCATTGAAGGTCCAGGCATACGATAAATCTGAAAAAAAAAAAAAAAACAGGAAAAAAATACATTAACCTTATGGTATCTGTTCTTATCTGAGAATCATGTGCTCAGTGTCACTATCATTAGAATGAAATTGTGACCCTATTTGTTCCAGTGAGAGCTGCAGATCTGGTGTGTAATTTTATGGTTCCCTTATTTCCACATATATCCCAGTTGGGAGGTCAGTGATGCTCTTGCCTTGCCCATCATAAGGTGGTGTGGGACTCAGGGCAGATGACAGGGTGTCAAGAGAATCAGTGGATGCATGTATTAAGAAGAGCTAGAAGATGTATAAACCATCCCAGGTTCAACGCACACTGAATTTCTTTAGCAATAGTGCTTTTGAAACGGTGTTTCTCTATGATATTGTCAGAAGGTTGAACTTAACTGAGGAGAACGTATTAAATTCAACTTAAAAATGTAAGTGAAAGTACTCTCTCCCGGATCATGGAGTTCATGCTATGAGTGTTATAGAATTTCTGAGCACCCACTCTGTGATAGTTTTAGGATTGAGAGTCCAGCAAAGCAAAACTTGTACCCTGTAGAAGTCACACCACTTTGCCACTCGTGTGGGTAATTTCCATGTGGGAAAACACACGGATTGACGGAGGCATTCTGAGAAGTTCAGAAAAGAAGCCTACAATAACTCGTGTTCAGAAAAGACTTCTCAGAAGAATGGATTCCACGCAGAAACCATCAAGGTGAAGAGAGCGATGCAGCTGTCCGCACCAGAGATGAGTGGGCAAGGCTGAAAATACACACAGCAGGATCTTGAAGATGAGAGAGAACAGGGGTTACCTCCCTGAACATCCATCACGCTCTCTCTGAAAATGTTATAGGTAAGTATAAATTATATACAATCTGTTGAACAAAATAAAAGACACAGGTCTTTTTTATTTTGTTATTTTTGGTACCACTCGACCACTGAGCCACCTCCCCAGCCCTATTTTGTATTTTATTGAGAGACAGGGTCTCACTGAGTTGCTCAGTACCTTGCTTTTGCTGAGGCTGGCTTTGAACTTGTGATCCTCCTACTTCAGCCTCCTGAGCCACTGGGATTTCAGGAGTGTGCCACTGTTCCCCAGCAAAGACACAGATCTTAAGTTCAGTTTCATTAATTGTAAAAATGATATGCCCTTGATAACCACCATCCCAAATTATATATAAAGAATCTCCATTTTTTCAAAAATTGTCTTATGTTCCTTTCTGATTAATCTTTTACAATTAAAATCCAATACCTGCTTTTTATTATTAGACTACTTTTAACATTATTTAGATGAATTTATTAAGTATTAGCCCCATAATAGTAACATCAGGCAGAGCAAAAACTAAGCTGTACTGTTTTGTGAAAACATGTTACAAATCAATAAATTCAGCCTTAGCTAATGAAAGGCTGTCTACTTGAGTATGGGAATTTGTATGTGTACATGTACATACAGGTCATTTTATTTTAAAACCTGGGGATACATACAATGATTTCTTTTTTTAAAAAAATGAATTAAGGGTGGGAAATAAAAGACTTAAAACCCTCTACGCAGTATGCCTCTGTCCTATTAGAATTTTAAATTAGTAGGTATTATTTTTATAAATTGGAAAATAAAAAAGGATCTACAGGATGAGAAGAGTGTCAGAAAGGGCAAACAGTAGAATGAACCACAGTTTATAAAAATAAGATGGCGGTCTGGGTGTGGTGGCACACGCCTGTAATCCTAGAGGCTTGGAAGAAGGATCATAAGTTCAAAGCCAGCCTCAGCAACTTAGTGGGGCTTTAAGCAACTCAGCTAGACCCTGTCTCAAAAATAAAAAAAATAAATAAAAATAAAAAGGGGTAGGGCTGTGGCTCAGTGGTTAAAAGCCCCTGAATTCAATCTCCAGTACCAAAGAAGAAAAGAGAAAAAAAAATAGGTATCATTTTTATCCTAACTGGGCCGTGTTCATAATGGGAGTGTTTTGTTTTATTCATTCAGGCATTGACTCCCAAACCCGATGCACTTCAGAATTGCCAAAATAAAGGCTAAAACACAGACAGTTAATAATTCTACTCCTAGCAATTTAGTTTCATTAAATCTGAGTGAAGGATCGCAGACCCTGTATTTTTGACAAACACCAAACGACTCAAACAGTTGAAGGGAAATACTAGGTTCACAGAACTCTTTATTGAGAGGTGAATTAAGAACCAAGTGCATTAAGATAACAAAATGCAACACAGGCGAGAGTCGATGTCACAAAAGAAAGTGGAAAAGAATTAAGATTTCTGATGCAGGTTAAAGATCTCGGAAGAGGACTGGAGCCACCTTCATCTAGTAGGCTGCCGTACGCACAGAGTTAAAGACACCATCGGAAGCCACATCCAGAAGCAAAAATTTGAGATGCGACTGCAATTACTAAAATAATAAATACTATGTAAATGATTCTATAGTTGGGATCTGGAAAGTCCCCCAAGGGTCCACATGTTAAAGTCTTGACCCCCGGTGAGGATCTATCGGAGGTGGTAGAAACTTTGAGAGTCAGTGTCTATTGGAAGGTCAAAAAAGCCATATGGATGTGTCCTCATGGGAGACAGTAGGATCCCAGCCCTTCTCCCTCTTCTCTTTCAATCCCGGGGCCTTAAGGTGAACAGTTGTGCTCCACCCACACTCCCCAGGATGTACTGTTTTACTGCAGGCCAATAGCACTAGGGTCAACTGAAACCTCCAAACTGCGAGCCAGAATAAACCTTTACTCTCGATAAGTTGATTTGTCTCTGTTGTTTATTACAGTTACAGAAAACTGACCGACTCAAGCCATCTCAACTTCGGAGCTATATTAATGAGTGATTCATTAAACAAAGGGCTCTTTCTAGCATTAGAAATTATGAAATGGAACTGAGATCACCATTGCTTAGGATATTGCCAAAAGAAAAAAAAAAAAGAGTTGTTCTTGCCATAGAGGGAGGCTTAGACCCCGCGTATCTATGAATGATCTGCTTCACCTTCGGCCCTCCTTTGATCTCCACGAGAGTCTATACTTTCAGACCACGTATGCATAAAATGCAATTCCATTTTTTTATTATTTTCAGAAAAAAAAATATGCTTTGACCTTCTGGTCCTGTGTTGCAGGTACCGAATTTCATGTTTCTTTCTGCAAGTCCCCATTGGGGGCTTTCATCATTCCGTGTCGTCTCCTGCTTCTGAGTTTCCTCACTGATGTCCTTTGCTGCCTGACTTCTAAGCCTGTTTGCTCTGTCTCCACCAAAGAGATGCTCAAAGGTTTTTGTTTGAAACCCGAGCGCCGGCGAGATAGTAAATTCTTCCTCAATATAAAAAGGAGGAGGAATAAAAGTGGTCCCGACGCCCCCGTCGTGGTTGACTCTTCATCTTTTGAACTTTTTGTGAAATACAGGCGATCGTGAGCAAATTCCCAGGGTCATGTTCTGTGCTTGGGGCTCCTTATCCAAGGCCCTTTTTTGGAGCAGGGGAATAAGCTTTAGTTCTCTGAAATCCAACGTAACCCATTCCACTTAACGAAAATTACAGGTTGCTGCTGATGCCCGAGACATCTTTGTATTCTTCAACCTATAATCTTGGGGCCTGAAACTGTAATTTTCTTCTCTCCTTGGGTGAATTCGTTTCTATCTTAGCTGCTAAAACTTTCCAATCTGTTCCTACATGTGCTGTATCCTTCTTCAATAGTGGAATATTTAGAAGCCCCTGGAAGATTCTAGTACAGAAACAGAGAAGTGTACAGAAAGGTAGTAAAGTTGTTTTTATTTTTTTTAAAGCGCGTTGCTTTCCTCCTCCCAACAGTTGTTTGATGAAGTGATCTGTGAATTACTAAGTTGCCCGCTAAACAGAAGAGGATTCTACAACTGAGAGCGTGAAAGTAATTCCCCTCCAGTCACATGGTTAAAATGTGCAAAGAGAGGATTTTAAAACCAGCTCCTTTAGAGGTCAGCTTCTATATTGTTTCCTTAGCACTTCATTTCTGAGATGGATGCTCTTTTTTTTTTAATATCAGTTTTCTTTCCTTGGTTCTTCTTTGTTACCCTCAAACTTCCTTCCAAACTCCCAAGCTCTCTGGAAACACAACCCGGCTCATATTTAGACCCAAATTCTCAGCACCCATAGCTTCCTCTGACCACACTGCCTAGCCGGTCTGCATTGAACCCAATTTCCTAGGGAGGAAAGGCTGATCTTTTGACATGGCTCCAAAAATCTTGCCAACATTAGCAGAGAATCAGACACAAAATAAAATCCTGAAGGAATAATGGTCCTGTCTCAAATGGACCTCTTGAAAGAGCAGAGGTTCTACATTTAGAGTGAACACCAAAAAACACACACACACTTCTGGGCTGTATCCTCAGAGGGCATGGTCTGGGGAAGAGCCACAGTGTGTCCATACATGACCAGTTTCCATGTATGGACACTGATGGAGGTGGTGTGAAAGGACACGTTGAAAGTCACGAATACAAACAGCAAACCTCAATCCCCTCTCTGTAACCACACTGGAAGAGAAAGCCCCTGGATAGTGCATGGTGACTGTATATTCCTTGGGTGTGATTTTGGAGCCTGAAGGAGGATGTTTCTCAGTGCGTGGATTCCTAGTGTCTGGGCTGGCAGGGATTTTAGGCAATTGATAATTCTTCCTCTTTATTTTTTTTGTGGGGTAGGGGGATACTGGGGGTTGAACTCAGGGGCACTCAACCACAGAGCCACATCCCCAGACCTATTTTATATTTTATTTAGAGACAGGGTCTCCCTGAGTTGCTTAGGGCCTCATTAAGTTGCTGAGGCTGGCTTTGAGTCCCTCCTGTCACCGTGTGCCTCCCTCTGCCATGGTCCCTTCTCCCCACGAGCTAGCTCTTCTCATTCACCCAGGTAGCCAGTCTACAGTGGGAGCATTTATCTCTTTTTGTTCTATCATTAGCCACTGGCCATGCTTCATAGGTATATTTCTTAATAGAGAAATTAAAAAAAAAAATACCTTCCAAATCAGAAGTTTAAAAAAACTCCTCA